GCCCGTTGGGAATTTTTAAAAAATTTAAAACATATTTAAATAATTTTTTTATTATTGTAAAATTATTATAATTTATTTTTAGAATGGTAAATTCATATAAATTTTAAATTGAAAATTATGATTACTTACTTCTTAGACATCACGACTTCAGTTTGCTTATCACTAAAATATTTTATTTTATTATCTAGTTTGTATTAGTTCTGAAGTGTACTGTTACACAGCAGACTTAAAGCCTGCGATTCAATAAAAAAGTAATTTTAATTATTAAAATTTATTTATTAATAAAACGTTTATTTAAAAACGTTTTTTTTAATAAACGCTTTTATTGGAAATTTTTTCCGAGAGTGGGGTGGAGAACGGTGGATTGATAACCACTATGGTAAATTTACATGTATAAACGATTAAATTCTAAATTTGGTTATGTTTATAGGAATTTGGAATAGGGAGGATGATGGGGAAGAATTGTCATCGGTCTTCAAAAGCAGATTTTTATCTTGATTATAATTGGCTTAAATTTAAGTTTTAAGATTTGAGGACATGATACAATGCAAATTAAATAAAAACGCGTAATAAAAAAAACGCATGAGGCCAATCGGAAGTCTACGAAATTCACTTGCAGACCGCTCGTTACCGTCGTAGAGGTACTCATGCTGCCATCTAGCGTTGTAAAAGAAAAATATTTATAAGATTCTTGTGGATTAGATAAATTGAACATTTAGTATTAAGCATGAATTCCAATCTTGTTACATGTAATCAAATATTTTATGGTTTATTTACATAGTGACACGAAATCCTTATGCATAAAATCGTATCCCGGATTTTCTAATTACAGGATATTTCGACTATATATTAAGTTCACGAAGAATTTTGATATGGATCTGATTGTGGTGTTATTTCCTCGAAATGCAGACTTAACACCATGCGATAATTCGCTTTCGGATAGTGAGAACTTTTGTGGAGAGATTTTTCATTTCAGCGACTGTTTTAATGACTTTCAATTATCATAAATGAAAGGTGTCCAGAAAAACAAGCAATATAAAATTTGTAAGGTGAATACAGGGAAACGTACAGATACAGTTTAATTAACCAGTCTCCATAGGAACTTTGCTACCACTCGGTTGTGAAGTTTATAACTTGGAATTATTTCTTTATGAATATATAATTATTTTCAACGATTTTTTGAAGAAAAATATGACTGAAAAATGTTTGACACATGAAAGAAAATGGACATACAGTATACATAAAATAAGTGATTAAATATTTAATATTAAAAATCGTTAATAAATACCGGTAATAGTAAAAATAAAGTATGTTATACACTTAAATTTTGTTATGGGACAAGAATAAAAACAGTGGTGCATTATAGTTTCATGGGGTCAAAGCGAATTTGAATTAGAGGGCTCCATGTATAGAGTTGATTTCAGACATTTTTCTACGGGAGAATTTTTTGGGAGAAATATTTTTTTATAAAAGATTGGTTTGGACATCTGTTAATGGGGATCCCAGGCAATTGGTTTCCCCCCATAAAATAACACACCCACTATAACTAAAAAACTATGGATGATTTCTTAGAAAAGGCTGACACTATTTTAGATGAAAGTATCTTTGTATTTTAAAAAAATCACAATAATATTAGTAATTTATGCAAATAAATTCGTTGTTTGACGAAATCTGAACATAGTGACACGTCACGTATAGCGAGGGAAAAACAAATTTATTAACACTTTTCTTCATTTTTTTTTTAAATGTGTATGTCTAATTTTGAGATTGTTCGCTTGATTAAAGATGATGTGCGTAAAATTAATAATATTTCTTAGAAATTAATTGTTTATTCATTTAATAAATTTGGGGAATATTATCATATCTATATTCTTATTCGAATTGTAATCAAATAATAGGAAAAATATTGATTGCTTCGAGGTTTTTCTCTCAAAAAATGTTGCGTGTTTGACACGTTTTATTCAAAAAGTCGATAAAATATTAGTTGTTTCGACAGACTGTAATTAAAATGTATATAAGATATTGTTTATTTTGACAAGTTTGATAGAAAAACAAGTATATAAAATATAATTGTGTTGTAATATCAAAACAAGCCAAACGTTTCTTTTGATATATTTTAATAAAAAAAAAGTAAGCAAAATATTCCATATTCTAAGTCAAAAATAGATAAATTATTGTATATTTCTGTATGTTACAATAAAGAAAAAATTGTCTTTCGATATGTTTTAACGAAAAATACAGGCAAATCATTGTCTGTTTTCACTAGCTTCAGTCGATCTCTTTGACATTTGNTAGAAAATATAAATAAATATCAAAATCGAAGTCAATAAGATTGTATATTTTATGCCCCCCAAAAAATAATAATAATAAAAACATTTATCTTAAACAGTGTCTTCAATTAAGCTAACCATAGCCTGTGAAAGAATATCCATGTCCCCTGTTTTTGTAGACTCCTTTTCTGATTTTGGCTCTTCAGCATCATCATTATTGTTCACACTCTCATTAGTAATCTCATCTTTACTCATATCCATTTTATCATTAATTTTATCCACAGATTCTAAATTTCTACACAGAATATAATAAGATTGATTTTTGAAACTAAAACAAATCAATTATTAATTTTTAAATTAATCTTGTAGTTATCTTACCTAAAGGAAGATGTCTTGTTCTCATTTTCCGTTTCTGTAAAGTATTTTTCGTTTAAATTATTTAAAAATTATATGAATAACTAAATGTTATCTTATGTTTTTTAATATTTGAAATACTGAAAATATTAGTTGAAAGTAGATATTAATTAATTTTATTTTTTCTTTTTGTTCATTAATTTATGCTGCATAAGACTAATCAGTACTTACATAGAATTAGTTTTGTATGAACTAATTATAACGATTCAATTAAAATGTAAAATGTGTCATTCTTCTTTAATTGTTAAGAAATTGTTCAGAAATCAAGAATTATAGTATTATACTGTGTTTCTTCTTAATAATTTCTGTGACGTAGTCCATAACTGATAATTCAGACAAATGGTCCATATTCAGACCTAAGTCATAGAGACATTATGGCATGTGTTAAATAAAACTGTGTGGAAGAAACATTCACAAACAATACCTAAACTGAAAATTGCGAGAATGGACAATTAGAGGGAAATCATACCATAAGCATCTGTAAAACTTATAGTAAAACTTCCTACACACACGTATTAAGGCAAGTATTAAAGCTCTGAGATCTATCTTATTAAGCACTGAGCTCACAAACGTATTTTTCTTGTTTATAGGTTTGTCTTTTTTCGACGTCAGGTAGCGAATACAGTATATGCGAATTTTGTTCGAATTTCTAGTGCAATGATTTTCGAAGAAAAGGAGCAATGGTCTCTGAGAAAGAAGACAACGACTGAAGTGGCGCCTGTATACTATTAAAATAAAGGAAGACACAAGCTACCAAAAAAGGGCATGGAACATTATGCAAGAAGCTTAAAACTATAATTCAACGTCGGATCAGAGCTTTCACAAGATGGCTTTGGTTGCATTCGGTGCTAACTTGGCCTTGAAAACAAGGAATATGGTTTCGGTCAACATACCACGAAGTTTCATGAGACAGATAGTGTATAATTTATTAGTTCCTTTTATATTTGCAGAATAGTCAGAATTTTTTGTTGTTTATTGATGGTAAAATTTAGTGCCCGTTGGGAATTAGGAAAACGACAATCCAAACAAAAAAGGGAGCATATTCCATAAGTCCCCCAATGTACGGGCGCCCCTGGATGACTCTGTATTGAAAAAATACTTACACTTATTATCATGGATTGTATTAAATAGAAAATCTTTCAGTATTTGTGAATTATTAAATATGATTTTGTCTTGGAAAGGACATTGTAATCACCAATTCACGTAACTTTCAAGCTCTCAAATTTGAACTTGCGCATAAATCTCATTACTGCAAATATGAATGATTCTTTTTATTTGAAGTATTTCAGTTTAGCACCGTACTCGATTTAGTACCAATTTCAGAAATCAAATTGTCGTGCTAAATCCAAGTTTGACTCTTACTCTTGTATATTATTTTATCAGTATTATATTAATATTTTTAATAATTCCTGTGTTCATTTTAAATAGTAAACTTTCAAATTTGAATGCAAATAGTCACAATTTTCTTAATTTTCAATGTCTGGATTTTTATAATACGTGATAGCTTTGAAAAAGTTATAACTTAACATAAAATACATTTTCCCAATGGTACATAACTCAATGTAGTTACAACATACAATTATTTGGGATACCTAATGTAATGCAAGGCAAAATATAGATAGATATGTAAACAATTTGCAAATTAAAGTGAGTATTTATTGGCACGTTTAATTGTTATGTTTAAGTTTTAGAAGGCTGAGGAAGTAACTTTTCAGTTCCATGTCGATACTACAGAACGGTTAGAGCCGTTAGAAGAAGCGGTTTATGGGTGTTCATTCATATAAGGTTTAAGTGTAAACTTAAACTTTAACAATTCATGATATTTCATTATTTATTAATTTCAATAGAAAACTCCTCATATAAGACGGAAAATTTTCTATGTACAGTATGTCTAGACAATGGATTAAGAGCAGTCGAATAATCGAATGGATATCCAAGAATCTGGATCTCATAACCTGAAATTTTCTCTATGTTCGTCAGCGGTTTTCAATGCGCTCAAGTACCGTTACTGATCTTAAGAACAAATCCATACCGCTTGTCGAATATCATATCTGATATTTTTGAACATCACTGATGATGCTTTTCAACAACAGCATGTTAATCTGAGCATGCAAGAGAAGGGATATCAATTTGTGCATTTGCCTCCGTAATGATTTTATCTATAACTATCGAACCACTATATACAATTCTGTTCAATATGGAAAATAATTTGGTATATATATCTTTAAAATTTGATATAAAATTTAAAATATCTTTTAAAATTACTCACCAGTTGGGAATGATGCAGAATTTTCTAAACTACTCAAAGAAAAATTATTATTATCAACAATTCTTTGTAGATTTGCGAAACTTTCTCCATCGAACATTATATTTTCAGTCTCTTCAGTAAAATTACTTGTATCTAAAAATTCTAAATCAGTAAAAAGTTGCTGATCTGAAGGTAGATACGTTGAGCTGTAAGATGAGATCTGCTGATTTGGATTAGATACTAAAAAGTTTCGATATTTTGGAGCTTCTTCAATTTCAATATATTCGCTCACACCACACGGTACTTCCTCAGAAGTTAATGACTTAATAATAGGTACACCATTAGTAAAAAGAGGACATGGATATATAGGTTTATGAAAAGGAAAAGTTTGAGGTCTGATGTTGGGCAGAAAATTGATCCCAGATTTCGTACGATATTGTTCGTCATGAAACATGGCTGAAAAATTAAATAAGAAATCTTAAAATAAAAAATAAAATCAGAAAAATTTTAAAAATTATAATTTTCTTTTCTTCATTACCTTCTATATTAGATTTGGCTTTATTTTTTAATTTGTTCTGAGATAATGATTTATTCATTCTAGCTAATTTGATTTGTTCTTTTCTTTTTCTTGCAAGGAATGGGTTGTATTCATAATCTAAATAATAATTTAAGAGTAATTGTAATGATTAAAATAATTTTTTTTTAATTTCTTGCAGTCTTTTGGGCACTAAAAGGGCATTTGTCATACCCTTGCTCACAAGGAGCATAGTACAAAAAATTGTAGCAACAAGTTGCGCAACTTTCCTGGCAATTATAAGATTTTATTTTAAAAATTACTTGTATTATTAATTAATTATAAGAAATAAATAGAATTGTGTATGGCGCTATCTGTTATAAAATTTTACCCTCAAAAAGCTTAATTTTGAGGGTAGAGACGAATTTTATTTAAAAAAAAGGAAAAACTGAATGCTAAAAGTAACTAAAATCTTCATTACGTCCGACCCCATTAGATATGACAGGTGACAACCCTCTAATTTCACCATTACCTCGACTTTCCACTCCCAAAATTTAATAGCTTCGATGTCTCTCATATACAAACTACCATGCTAAATTTCGTTTTTTAATCTTCATCTCATCCTAAGATGTTAAACGAGAAAAAGCCAATTCACACATACACATCCACGAACTTTTTTGACTTTTTGGGGTTTATGGGGTCTCAAACCGTAGAGATTTGCAAAGGACTCAAAGGGTAAAATTTGATACGATTTCAATACTTTCCCTGGTTATGTATACTTAACAGCCAAGAAAATAAAATGAGGATTTGGAAGAATCATCCATAAAAGTTTCTGAATATCTGACAAGGATATAAATCCGTCTCCCATCCAAACAGATAGGCTTACAACTTTACCATCTCAAAAATTAAAATATTTAAAAATTGAATAAATTACCTGGATATTTCTTGCGATGTTGTAATTCAATTAGTTTTGCTTTCTGAAAATATTCTTCTTTTACTTCTGCTGATAATTGCCTCCATAATTGTCCTAAACGAACACTAATAGATTTATTAGTCTCATTTGTATATTTTTGCGATAATAATCTCCTATATTCTTTGCCGAATATCATAAAAGCATTCGGAGGTCTAGGAATTTTCAATGATGGAGATTCTTGATTAATTATATTTTTTTGAGACTGTTCTTGAATTTCTCCTAAAAATTTGTGAAAATCATTTATTTAAGTAAGCACCAATCCTTAAGCTTAGCTTCATCCTTTTGTTAAAATTCAATCGTCTTAAAATTAAATTAATATAAAAATCTTACATTTTAATTATACAAAATTTGATTCAAGCATATTGTAAACTATTTGTAAATTAAATTAAATCAAACTAAAAACATGACTTTAAGTATAAGCATATTGTATATACATATTGTTAAATAAGTTACGCACCCAGATATTACAGGGTGTTCGGAAAATCACTGCAATTTTCTAATGATATTTCCGCATTATTTCGAATCACCAGATCTAAATCTACCAGACTACTATCTGTGGGGAGTAGCAAAATTTGCAGTGATAACAGCATTCATTCATTCAATCTATTTCAAGCAAGCAACAGATAGCGGTGTTTAGAAACAAAAGGATCTAAGCCTGCATTGAAGCTAATCGGGCGTAACTTTCAACATTGTTTATAATTGTCATTCATATTTACCTCCTGTATTCTATATTGAAACATGTCTGTTAACAAATGTATAAGTGCACAGTGACTTTCTGAACACCCTATAGTATTAATTACAGTAACTCGGCTACGGGTACGTCTGAGACAGATATGTAAATGATTACAGTTGTGATTCGATAGAAAACCAGATAACACACCTTAATTCCCATTGACGAGTTAACTCGTAAAGTTTACAAAGCGTTACGGAAAACTCGTTCGTTAAGGCAACTTTTGACAAAATTTTTTTTCAAGTTTTGGAATGTTTTTTAGGTCCACAAATTTTTGAAAAAATTTTATCGCGATTTTAATTAGCTTTTGATAAGGCTCGATTAAGGCTTAATTGTTTTTTAATGAGAATTTTTATCAAATTTAATTCATCGTTCTAAAGTTATAGCGGACGGATTTTCCTTCGGTAAAGTCATTTAAAGCTACTTTCTGATGTCAAAAACGACCTCCGATAGTTTTTTAATTTTTTTAATTAATAGATTTTATTATATATAAATTTAATTAATTAGGTGGGGTCGGAAATCGCAATTAAAATTTTAATTTTTTAAAAATATTTAAAAATATAAGGCCAGCTAGTATTCACTCTACTTTAAACCCTTGTCCTCCCAAGACGTCTATGAGAATACCCCGGAAATTCGACTCCAGCTGTACTCAAGGTCATCCAGCTATGTAAACAATGACTCATCAGTGTCAAATTTCACAGAAAAACGAGACAAAGGAAAATAAAATTTGAAGCTTTTTCTTCAAACTTAACGCATTTCTTTCGTTTTTTTCAGTTTTAAGTATTTTTTATGTTTAATTATAATTAATTAAAAGTTGATCGGGAATAAAGGGGTTAAGAGTGCCTTAAAATTCCTATTTCACTAGTCAGTATCCTATAAAAGGCTCATAGAAGTTCATTGCGTTCAGAATTTTTCAGTAGAAAAATTGCAGATAACCATCCACATGCTCTAAATCTCCTAGACAGACTGGAGAAGCAGTTGCAATATCTGTAGGCAAATCTGTCAAAAGACAGTGTGCGATGCTCTACAGTATGCCCAACTGTATTATTACATATATCCAGGCAAGAGACGGTAGAGGAGAAGGTGGTATTATGGAACCCCATTTTCATTATAGTGAATTGTAAATAAGGTATCATAACTACACCCACATTTTTTGTGCGGAAAGTACTGGTAACTATTAAACTAGATGTTTTTAATTGTATTTTTCGCTAGTGTAACTATAAGTATGGTTTTTGAAGGCTTCTGTACAAAAAGTCAGAAAGTAGGCTTAGGGAAAACCGGGTGGTAATATGGAACCTTACTGTATGTTTTCAAAAAATGCTTTAATGTATCCAAAAACAAATAGGAAAGTACAAAGCAAATTAAATAATTACAAAATTATTTACTCCAATGTATTTTATCGCAANTCAACTGCTTTTTATTTTATAAAATCCGTCTTCTTGCGCCACCAGAGGGCCTTTTAAACAATAGGTAGTCTGTTAGCGTTGGTTAGTAGTAGTCCAAATTCAATACGAACGTTTGTTTCTTAAAAATTTGATCACAATTTAAATACAGCATTTACTTTTAATATCACCGATATGTCATCGAAAAGAAAACGTGTTGTATTATCATTAAAAGACAAATTAAAGTATTTTTTCGATTATCCGGATTTTTCCTTCTCCGGACTACCTTCATCCCCAATTAGTCCGGATAATCGAGGTTCTACTGTAATAATAAAGAAATGTACAAAGAAGAAGTTAATCATTTACAAAAATCACAAATATAATGCTCCTATGTGTTAGGTGTGTATTTTTACTTTTTTTCATTTTCCTTCTATTTTTTCATTCATCTACCACATATGTTTACAAAAGTTAGACGGGTTCCATATTAAAAGCACCAATGGAATCGCCATCTTGAATTAACTTATGTCTGTCAAGATCAAATTTAAAAAAAAAAAAACGTGAACATCACACAGATTAATTAATATGTACCCCTAAGTCTTTGGAACAGAATACATGCACCAGTGAACCTACAACTACACGATTTATATTTTAGAAAGAATTTTAGAAATTTCACTTAGCATTCAAAACTTTCGAATTTCAAAAAAACACAAATATACTAATTTACTACTGATAGCTGTTTAACTCAGTGTTTTCCAACCTTTTTTGTGCTATGTCCCACCTAAGCCTTTCTAAAATTCTTATGCTCCCCTAACATATACAGTGGCTATATGGTTAACTTGATATCTAGACAAGTCCATTTTCGAATTGCACCCCTTAACAATAGAATTGCCCCCCTTCGGGGCATGGGCCCCATGTTAGGAAACACTGGTTTAACTGAAGTGAAACGGGTTTTCCCCTTTCTATGGATGTCTGCCTAGTGCAGTTCAGCCACAATCCCCTACAGTTCGCCTTTATTATCAGTTTGAAATAGAGGGTTCCATAATACCTGCAGGGTTCCATAATACCACCTTCACCCTTACTAAATAAGGTACTAAAGATTTATTTAAGAAATATTAAATGAAATGTCTTATGGAAAATTACGATATTAAACACAAATATAATATAATTATTATTTCTGTATCAATCGAGTTCTTATTTTTATCCATTTTAAATAAAGTGGGCAGAATTATTGGAATTTATTATTAAACAATTTGACAAAAGATGATCGGGTATCGCCATCTGTTGATATCTTTTGAAATTATCGTTTCTGAAAATTAAATAACAAAATTCTATTTTAGTGCTTTTAAATAACAGTTAAGTTATTAAGTACAACAAGCTTCAATTTTTAGCCAAAATATACTGGATTATTAGTTTTTAATTTATTCACTTACTAAAATTAATTTGATAGTAAATGCAAGCGTGTCGCCATCTGTTGGCAATAATAATAATTTTATGAACAACATAACCAACTTTACTAGATAATATGGTTTTGGAGTAGCTATTGCAATCATCCTTCGGTTTCGTCCTAGAGACAAATGCTTTCGATAGGGAGGCGTTCCGATCGTTCAATAGGCAAATGGTGCGTTTGTTAATGGCGGTTACTCTATGTCTCCCTTACTACGTGTAGGCATTTAAGAACGACAGTGAAAGAACGAAAGATGGCGGTGCCCTTACTATCGAAAGTATCGTGATGGTGGAATCTATGTTTTTAAAATATACGTTTTTAGAGACAAAAGAAAGGCCCAATTGTAAAATTTAATCATAAAATGAATTATCTTTCCGACAGAGCATTCAAAGTAGTCACGAAAAAATTAAAATGCTGGCTACCATTGGAAAAAAAATTTCGAGAAGACATATCACTAGGAGCACTAACTTGCGCTTTCACAACTTCTTAATTTTCATTGGTAAAATTTTACTCATGTGTGTTCCTGGCCACATAAGGCCAGGAACACACATAAGTAAAATTCGGCTTAAAATCTAGCATAAAACAGAAAACGTAATAATTTTTCTGAAATTTTGGCTGAAACAGAATTGAAAATAGAGTAGAGCATGTCTCTACTTTTTACAACGAAAAATTTTTATGCCAAAATTCCTCCAATAAAGAGAAGTCTTTTCTGTGACGTCAAAGTAAACACGTGGTTTTTATTCTAACAATGACAGAAGTGAGGGTTAACCCTACGATTGTGACTGTCTCGAAAAAACGAAAAATAAATGAAATAGAGGAGTTTATTGAATCCGTTCGACCACATCAGTGTCATGTATAAAGACATTGTATTTAAACAACGTTTATGGATGGCTATAGGTGCAAAATTTCAAATAACAGGTAGGTCTAGTAGAATCGATATATAGGCCTAGTATTTAGATCACACGTTCTTTATTTGAATTCCGAATACAAGTCTATTAATTTAAATTTTCTATATTATAGCAGAGGAAGCGGAGAAAAATTGAAAGATACAAAGGGATAGATAGCCTATATGAGAGGAAAAAATTAATAAAATTAGCACTGTTAATAAAATTAGCACTGTGGCAACCACTGCCACCAACAGTGCTAATTTTCCTATTTCCTATTTCCTATTCGGCCAGAATTTTTACGTATGTGTGTTGTGTGTTCTGGCATAAAAGCGCAAAACAGAAACTGAACCGAAAGCTGATTTCTGATTCAGTTTTCTGCCACACAATTTTACGCATGTGTGTTCCTGTCCTAATGGACCATGTTGTTTTTCACCCCTTAAACTTCTAATACAAGCGGCCGTTTTACCGGAATATAGGAATGCGTTCCGCAGGAATTTTTAAACGGATGCCATTTGTGCGGAGTTATGCAGAGGAATAAAAGAACGTACCCAAAGTGGGAAAGAATTGCATTACCGCGTGTGCGTTTTTAAAAGTGATTTTGTGGTGAATTTAATTATTTCAGTTTTCTTTTTTTTGTGTGTGTGTGTGTGTTTTAATGATATTTTTAACAGCATATTTTTAATGAATTTGTTGAAAAAATATATTTTGTAAAAGCTTCTAAATGAATTATAAAATAATTCATTAACCATTTTTTTTAATATTAAAAAACAAGACTGGTCAAGCCTATCTGATAGCAAGCTCCACAAAAGAGAATCAAATATTTTTAAAAATAAATTTATTATAAAATTCAATTTAATACAATGTACTAACCGAGTAGGTTTTACTATAGCTTACAGTGACCATAAACGAAAATGTCCAGTTTCCTTTTGCGCAATAAATGGATCGAATAAAACATAACACTTAGGTAACGAAAGTGGAAATGCGCATGGAAATGTGACAGACAGACAAAAGTCCTAACATAAGCACTTCTCCAATACCCTGAAGTGTGCTAAAAAATGAAAAAGTTGTTGTTGTGAAAGGATAAAACGCGTGCATGTTTAAAGCAATGAAGATTTTATGAGATAAATAAATAATTTTAAATAATTTTTTTAAAATAAAAATTAATCGTGAAATTTTAGATCATATTAAGCATAGATTTACGTCATTCATTCGGGAAACGTGGTATGTAATTTTGAAAAAAAGGGCGAACTGTTCCTTTTTTTGTATTTAACTATATTTGGAAAGGTTTTAATTTATATTTAGAAGTCGAGTTACGTATTAATTTTATATACATTTTTCGTATACTTGATCTTCCTTCCTGGCCGCAGCGTTCTTAGTGAGCACTAGTGGCTCTAGACGTAAAATTTTGCTCTGCTCCCCAACTATATTGTCTAATAACCTTGAACATAACAGTATGTTGCTAATTGGAATCCATGTTTGGTTTCTTTCATTGAAATTCTAACGACCACAACACTAGCATCAAAATGGCATTCTCATTAGTATATAATTCTGTTTAAGAATTACTTTAAATGTAAAATTATGATTAAATAAATAAAATTTTTCAAAAATATCATAAAATTGTTATTATATTATGACTAATAAGCGCAACTTAAAAATACACATTTATAGCTATAAAAGTACAGATAAAATAATTAATTTTTAGAAATGTGCTGAAGTTTTCTATTATGTATGTATGTATAGATAGTCGCACTTGCATAAATGCACAGACACAAACAACACTCTCACACAAAAGAATAATATATATGTGCAGTATATACTGTGTATAATATGTGCGCGTGTATATTATGCACACAACTTATACACAGTATACAGTAGACTGTTGATAAACTGAATAGTTTACTTCATTTTTTTTAAGATTCAGTATCGTTGTCCAGTGTATCTGTGTATATATTTAATTACGTAATTAATATAATTAAGTACGTACGTTGATCTCTTGGATAATATATAAAAGTTTGATTTAAAAATAATAGTATTAAAATACTGTATTACTAAAACCCTTCGAAATTCTGAAAAGTCCAATAAAATAGCAGAATTTCTACCTGACAAAATTACTTTGCTAGATTTTTCTTTATCTTTCTCCTTTGATAAGTAAACAATTGTAGGATTTGATACTGAAGAATTTTCTGATTTAAAAACTTGTGATGGAGATAAATTTTCTGTTTTTACTTCAGATTTTTTGTTACAATTTAAAATGACTTGCTGATTTGGATATCCGAATGAAAATTGTGGAAAAGACACGTGTCTTCTCACATACTGTCCTTCCATTACTAAAAAGAAAATTCAGTTTTAGAATTTTTCATAGATATGTTACAAAAAATTATATTTACTCTTCGATTCTGGATTTGTTCCTGCTTGCATCATTTCTGCTTTCAAGTAATAAATCTCTTTAACTTTTTCTGGCATGGATCTCCAAACTTCGCCCAAACGTGCTAAAATCATATTTTCAGGCTCATTAGGAAAATTCTCGCTCATCCTCTTTTGATTTTCTTTACAGAAAATAGAAAATGCACTAGGAACTTCAGGAAGAGTTAACGAAGTCATTTGTGAAAATTCATTTACTGAAAGAAATCATTACTGTGAATATACTGTAGCCTATATCTAATTAGCATATTAGTAGATTCAAAATTATGCTCGTTAAGCATTTTTTAAACATTAGTTATGTTCATTAAAATTTCTTGTATGTTAGAAGGACTTCGAACAACTAGGCTAAGTGGACATCATGAATTAAGAGTCATCTTGAGCTAGATGACATAATCGAGCTTAAGATAGATTCAAAAATGACACGTATTGAGATGGCTCTAACATAGTTTGTTCTTAAGCTACATTGTGCCATTTAATTTTAAGAACCCAACTACCTATTCTTATGCAGTTATAAATAATTTGATAGAAAATAAATATTTTAAGAAGCATAGAGAGTTAATAAAATAACTGAAATCTATATCTTATCAGTGAGAAAAACTTATACTTAAAACAAATGTTTTCAATTTTTCAATTTGTTGAAGGATCACCCATGTGATGAGATACAAGGGTCATGGATCATGGAAAATATTATCGACTTTTGATCCAGGATGCATATAATATTTATAAATATGTGAATATTCAATAATTAATTGTAATTGTCGATATAGTTAGTTCTTAAAGTAAGTTTTATCGAAAAGCATTCCAGATCACTGATCACTATTTTCACCTTCGACCTTTATGTCACGCTCCCAAGTAATAGACCATTTCCCTCCTCTTTGATTACAATTTTGATTCGAAGTTACAAAAATTCAAATAAAGATTCGAATTGTGGAATACACAAATAAGTTAAAATACAAACGAGCAATTATTTATTGTGACATCGTCACAATGCCGGGCTGCAACTTTTAACCATATTTTTTATTTACAGTAAAACCTGTCTTTTTCGACTCCACGGTTCCTTTAAAAACTGGTCTTTTAGACAGGTGGTCGTCTGTAATACCGAATTTTTTAAACTCGAAGTGAGCAAAAATAAGCGAATTTTTTCAACGATAGAGCTATATTAGTACTGTATTTTATTCTTACAGGATAACTCGATTAACAGAAGTCGTGGTGATTTTATAAGATAGATTTAATATCAGTATTTTAAAGATTAATACAGTATTCGCATTTTCTCGATTATAATGCACACTTTCTAATTAATTCAACTTGGTTCTCTTCGTTTGCTCTTCAGTTACGTCAGTTACGTGTATTATTCATCGATATAGAAGCGCGTGGTATCTCTCCACCACTTCGGTTTTGGTCTTTGTTAGTTTAACCTCATTTTAACTTTAAAAATACTGTATTTTATTAATATTTAATATTTTCTTCAGTACAGTAAAAAAGTATTAATTAATAATAAAACAATTTTATTATTTCTTTTCATAATATGATTTCATTACATCAATGACAATCCCGGAATCGAAAAAGGAAGGTTGTTTATAAAACTGATTTTTGCGTTAATACGTTAATCATTTTTTGAATATTTTGTGTGCGAAAATTACTTGGATATTATTTACCTAAAAATATCATGGAAATAAGGTAGATAAATAAATTGCGTTTTCCCACAGTTAAATTTCACTGCTAATTGCCGTTGTGATAAACCATTTTCAATTTTCTGGTAACTTTAACACGATCTTCTAACGATAGCAATTCGCATTTCCTTCGATTTTTGGACAATTTCGAACAAACTGAAATGAATTTCTTTTATTTCCAGACTAATTCAATAACACCTGCGCCTAATTTCAAGGGTGGAAGAAGTGCCCGGTGTGGGTTCGAATAAAAGTTTAGACCAGATATATTCGCAGAAGTGGTCGCTTATTACAGTTGTTGTATGTTGTTCCCGACCAAAGATTGATGCCCGCGGTCGCGTTACACAGATGGTCGTTTAATACAGGTAACTTATACGAAGACTCTATATAGGCCTAAGATGCGTCCCATAAATATAAAGGCACAACTTGTCATGCAAATAAAAGCTAAACTAATTATCATATAACAAAACCAATTTAATTTTGAGGTAATTACAACTTACAAATAAACATATTAAAAAATCATGTAATTATATTGTTTAACAACTTAACAATTAATTTAAATGAAACTCACGTTTGTCGTTGTCTCAAAAATATAAAGTCAGGTTCAATTTTCTAACAACAGAGGTTATATGTGTAGGGGCCGAGGGGGGAGAAATTTAAAAAACTTTCGAGGAACGATAATATGTGATATGTATCGTCATCGTCTCCCTTGCCGTTTGGATTGCCGAGCGGTAACAATCAACGACATGTGGAAGCAGTTGAGTCAGAGATAGATGCTTCGTTTACAAACAACACAACCGTTTATTAAACACGAAAGAAGCTTACAAGATTTCCGCGATCTTGGAAGTTCTGCGGCGGCTGCGGCCTCTGGGTCTTCCTCTCCTTTCCAAGATAGTCCCATTTTGAAGGAGTGTCCCTTGTTCGCGAATGAACCATTCCATCACGTCTCGACGACTCCGGGACGATGCGGTCGACTTCCGTTGATGGAAAGATGTCGATCCGAGGTCGGGAGATGGAGACGAAGATGGGTGCGAGACACACACACAACAACAGATCCGTCACTTGGAACTTTCGGGAGAAGAAGCCGTCGCGTCCTCGAATTTCCGGGGTTTTATCTGTTTTCTCTCAGATTCCCCTTTCCGATTGGTCTCCCGTCGTCACCTGATGACAATTCGAAACCTTTCGGGGGCGCGGGAGAGATCAAAATCGAAGTTTAATTCGATCTCCAACCGGAAATGGTCGACGGACTTACATTCTTCTATTGTCTAGAAGTTAGCGTCGCGTTTTCATAGAATAAAAATCTATTTCTAACTAATATATTATTTTCTTTAAAACAATTATTTTAACGCGAATTTTAGTGAGGGTTCGGACCTGTCCAGAGCCTCACATATGGTACTACAATACAACTACTACGTATTTCAAATGTTTATTTCTGTTACGTATTGATGTAAATGAGTTGTTTTTCATCTTGGAACGTGCAAAACCCTTAGGAGATGTTGGAAAAGGAAAGATTTTAACTTTAAGAGATGAAAATTACTCAGCAAGAGTAATTACAAAGAAGATTAATTGTTCTCCAACTCTAATTGACAATTTCATAAAGCTTGGAGACAAATACGGACAAAAGAAATCAACAGATTGACGTTCAAAACTTACAAATAGAGGAAAACAGTGTTTTGAGGAAAATCAAAAGCAACCAAACATCTTTACGAAAACTAGCATCAAAACCACAGCTTAATGTATCAAAATGTACAGTTGTAAGAATTGTTAGTACATATCAGCACCTCATCTATAAGAAGAAAAAGCTTGCACCATCATTAACCCCCATCCATGAGCAAAAGCACTTGCACTGGGCACAGGAGAAAATGGGATGGACAGAAACATGGAAGCACAGTTATCTGGAGTGACGAGAAGTTTAATCTTGATAAACCAGATTGTTGAACTTGTTATTGGCATGATTTGAAGAGTGAGGAAAAAATATTTTCAAAACGGCAGCAAGGTGGAGGCTCAGTAAAGGTATGGGGTGGGTTTAGTCAGTTTGGCAAGACAAATATTGCATTCCTCAGTGGCCAAATGAATGCAAATCATTATCAAGACATGCTAGTAAAGTTCTTCTGCCTTGGATTGATGTAATTGTTGGAAATTGTTGGTTTTTCCAACAAGATAACGTCCCTATCCACACAGCTAAATCAACTTATGAGTGATTTTTAAGTAATGGAGTTCCAGTTAATGATTGGCCAGCTCGTTCCCCAGATTTAAATTTAATGAAAAACCTTTAGGGAATCTTAGCTAGAGCTATATAAGCTAATGGGCGCCAATAAAACAGCGTAGATGAGTTAAAACATGTAATTAACACCCATTGGGAAGAAATAACTACAATAATTTTTTAAAAACTTATACAATCAATGTCAGACCGTATCTACAAACTTATAATGAAAAAGGGGAAGTGTTTTGTTATTAGTTGATCATTAAGATTTGTAACAATAATTTCTACTGTTTTAGTGATTTTGTAGTATGCCTTTATATTTTTGGGACAGCGAGAAACGTGATTTTGATTTGAATTAATTAATTGTTAAGTTGTTAAACAATATAATTACATGATTTTTAGTGTTTATTTGTAAGTTGTAACTACCTCAAAATTAAATTGGTTTTGTTATATGACAATTATTTTAGCTTTTATTTGCGTAGCAAGTTGTGCTTTTATATTTATGGGAATACACCTTATAAACTATTCCCTGCCAGAAATTTTTGCCCGTTTTGACAGGTGCCCGTCGAATGCAGGTGGTCGCCTAAGCTGATTTTACTGTATTTCATTTAAAATATATGCGCCCCATCTCAAATTAGTACTGCAGTATCTTGGCCCTGTACATCATACTTTTCTGTTATCAGTGGAGTCGTGCCAGTCATCTATTAGCTGCTTTCAGAAAAACGTTTGAATTGAAATAACATTACTTCCAGTTTCCATGGAATGTTTTTATATAGTTAATTTGGACTTCCCGCTCCTAACGTTTCCATATCTGGTCTCCTCTTACAGCTATCTAACTCTGTTCTCGAGATTAAGGAAAGACAGACAGGCAGACATCAGACAGACGACTGTGAGAATTTATAGGTCTACAAGTTTCTCTAAATTTCAGCCCAATTTACCAAAAATAACTAAATAGAAACTAGAAGGGATTCGCAATCTTGGCATTTAGTTTCTATTATGTTTTTATTTATATACTTAACTGTTTTTTTTTTTTTTGTATGTTAAAGTCATGTTTGCATGACTCTGACAATGCACTTATATTATGATCCTAGCCTCATAGAATTTTTATTGAGATTTAAATTATTTTATTACACTGATAGTGAACAGTACCTTTTTCTAGTTATAGAGTTAATACAAATATTCGTTTTACGTTCTTTTTATAACGGATAGGAACAATTAAAATTAAGAAATATTGATAAATAATAAAATATATTTTAATGTTACTTGAAATTAACATTATATAGATTTAAAAATATATTCTATGTAAGCAGATCAATAAGTTAAAATAATATTAAATTATACGTATTAATGAAATATTTTTATATATGAATATATTTAATTTAAAATCTTACCAGGATTAATTTCAAAATTCACATCTGATAAATCCATCAAAAACTTTTATAATGTGTTTAAATATAAATAAATAATCACAAATATTTTTCTCTATTTTTTAATATTTTCAAATGAACGAAAACTCAAACTTTATTCGATATATCGTTATTCGAATTTTTAATTATTACAGTTAAACTTTCAAAAATATTTTTAAAAAATTGTAGAATGTTTTAACGGATTTTTATTTATGTTATTATTTATTCTTGAATTAATAAAAGTAAAATTCAAATAACCATTTATTGAAATTTTATAGACTTAGATTGTACGATACATCAAATATAGTATTAATATATTATGGGGCCTCATTTGAAGTATTGTAAAATACAATAGTATACAAGTCAGATTGACCGCCTATTTTCCGGAACTTCATGCTTTTAATCCGAACAGAATTGCGAGAAAATGCTATAAATTTCCATGATCTCTATAATAGTTTACAGCAAATGGTCACAGATGTTTAGATAGAATTCACTGATATTATCTACATTGCAGTAGTTGATAATCTCTATTTTCTCGTTTTCCTTATATTTAACTTAACTGTTGCTTCTGAAAAAGATGCAAGTGTCAGTAGTATCAAGCGTAAACACCAGTCTCTATTTAATTGTAGCTGTGATAGTAATAAATTATCTTTATTCAACGCTGTCTGGAGGGATATGTAACAGTCCAAACAAAACCAAATTTTCTACACTGACGTTTCTATATATGGGGAAGAGATTTCTGAAGAAAAAAATTTATTTGGGATTGTGGCACTACAAGCGACAGAAAAAGCTTCGACTACGTAACTCTCGAAGCACACTCGTAGATTTGGAATTATATTTATTAAACTGAAAGGTGTGTTGAAGCACGATCATTCTAGTAGTAGGAAGTAATTCGAGTGGTATTTCACATGCAGTTTTGTACCCAGAAATTGACTAGACGGCCGGATGGCCGAGCGGTCAAGGTTGTAGTCTACTGCTCTGGGGATCCGGGATCAAATAATCCCCAGGAATTTTTCGGGTGTGTGGTCCGTTTGGATATACCGGGTCCCGTCCCTCACCACCCGGCTGCCCCATTGTGGGCTTGGCCGAACCCATAATGGGCTTGCAAAAATAGGCCCTCTTAGTGCCCACAGGGCGGAAAGAGTTTAAAAAAAACCCAGAAAGTGACCATAGCACAAGCGTTATACATAATTACGTTACGTATTATTTGCCGCTCACGTGCTACAAGTCCCATAGTGGTAGACTAAGTTTTAAAAATAGATTTCCCCGCAGAAATCTTTCTCGCATATCTGGAAATGTCAGTAAATAAAATAGATTAAATTTAGGCAGTTACTTAATACTCTAGACAACGTTGAAAAAGTGTACTTTAGTTACGATCACCGCAATATTATAGACTGGTGTTTACACTTTATAGTACTGACACTCATCTTTTTTAGAAGCATTAATCAAGATTTTAGTAGTTTTTCAAAAGTAATAGTTAGGCTTTTAAGTCCATCCTTTATAAAAAAAAATAAAAATCTTATCTTATAAAAATTACTTTTATACCCAATCATGTAACCACTTTTCAGAATGAAAACGTTTTCGGAATCTTTATATATGTTATAGAAACAGTTTTTCGAAAATTTAAGTTGTGTTCGTATAATTCATCTTGTAATTCTGTAAGCAGTTGTCTTTTTCTCGTTTGAAACGGATCTTACTTTTAAGAAACCAGAAAAAATATGATACAATGTACTTGCCATCTGAAAACATAACAAATTCCTTACTAAATTCATTTGAAGAAACGTGGTTAAAGATAATATAAATATATAATTAAAGTAAATAATAAAACCTTGAAAAGAATTTTCCTTTCTACAACCAAAAATCCGCCTATTGAGAGAGAGAGACTTTCCTAAATCTTTTCATGAAATTCAAAATCTGAAAGAATCATTGCCAATATTAGACGAATTTTATTAAATTAATAAAAGAAATACATACTTTTAGCTTTCGTTCCAGTTCAATGCGATTGCATCTTGAAAATTGTCTGATGTCTTGAAATGTATTATCCATCTACAAGAAAAAACGAAAACTAAACGAGAAAGAAATAATAGATGAACAGAGTGCATAGTGTCTAATTACCGTAAATGACAGTGAGCAGACTAAACAGTCACATATTATGCAGATATATGTTAATTAATATTATCATCGCTAATAACCACAAATATTTAACGAGTTAATAAAAGTCTCTAAACAAAAATGCATAATACAGAAATTCAAAAGAATCCCAAAATAAAAAATTTTGACTATCAGACTGTAACTATTATTGAATTGTTGCATAAAATTCCAAAGTTTTTCATGATGCAACATTAATTCATTCAGCTTTCTACGTAAATTTCTATGGCCCTTATTGAAATTTCCGAGACAATTATTCATATTCTTTATGAGAGATGAAGAATAGCAGTGCCAATATGTATAACACAAAACCACTTCCTCCAATAAAGAAATTTACACTTAATCAAATTTGGATACTACGGAAAACAGCTTTACCAAGAAATTTCTGCTTATTTTCAATATAAGGATAGACGAATAAGGTGATGATAATTTCATATAAAATAATAAATACCATTATCATTATAGAGATTAGTAGATAACATTTCTCATTAAAATATTATTTTTACTAATCAACTTTTCGTAAAAATATTCATTCCTTAATTGCTTTATTAAATTGAATTTGTTACTTTTCATGAATTTGAAAGCAAAAGAATAAGCGAAAAATACAACAGAAAACATTGTTTTAAATAATGGAGTCATTTTGCATATTGCATATTTATTTAATCCCGGGATTGCTTACCATAGTAAAAGGATTGCATGTAGCCTACGTTTAAAGACAGTTGGATTAATTGAACGCATCTTTTTTTTTCAATTTAGAATTATTAAATACTGTACTATTATTCTATATTCACAGATCCAATCCATATATGAGGGCAGTTGTACAACAAGGACTAATGAAATAGCTCATACATTATCCTTCCACTGAATTGGAGCTCATGTTTATCGGTAAAACACGTTTCACATAATGAAATATAATAATGGCGTGGTTAGAAGAGCTAGTTACATAAACCCTTTTCTGTACAAATTCCGCAGTACAATGAAAATTCCAATAAACATGAATGAGTATAAAATCAAATTTTATGCTCATTTTTACTCAGCTCCTTAAGACATTAATAAATAATTAATTAGCTAATCTCTTGCTTATTGAATTTTTGAAAACATGAAGAAGACACCTAACATTTTAATAGTTATATAAACACGAACTTGATATTCTGAGCTTTTAAGAAATTATACTAAAAGCTCAGAATATCCTGCATTACAATACATTAAAATTTTATTAATGTATAATTTCGTTCAAACTCATTAAAAAATTATAAATGTAAGAGAATATGAAAAATTTTGTTTGTTGTTACACTTTAATGTATTTTTACTTATAAATGTATATGATGCACGAAACGTTTCTGATCCCATAAAGATATTTATGAGACTGTACCTTATTGACTTTTCAATCCATAGAACATGCATTGTGCACGTATTTTTTGAATGAAAAAAATGCTAGATTCTCACAGACGTCACCAGATTAAACTCTTATGTGCTGAACTGTATGTAATTAGTATGATTTGATACAAGAAGAATAAAGAATTTTTAAAATGTGTTAGATTGGTCACTGATAAACCCATACGTAAATTAACCTTTGTAGGTATATAAATCAAATACTATACTATAATATAGCAAACATTAAAACGAAAACTATATAAAAAGTTTGGTTATTTCAGCCTACCAATGTCACGTTTAATGCGATAATCGGATAGTACGAAATGGCACAATTTCATTAGGCAAAGTAGACTCCAATTGAAAATATAGGCCTATCTTAAATCTTTATGGATATCGTATTTTAAATTTGTTTAATATTAACTTTAAGAAACTGTACCATTCACAGCCAAATATCAACTGTTAATCTGTCAACAAATCAAATTTTGCGAAAATAGGATGAAATATTTAAACTCGGTTCCTTCGAAAACCACTTAAAACATATTTTGTGTAGATTGGTAACCTTGTTTTACCTAATTTTCTTATTCGAATGCCACCATACCTCTGGTTCGATAGAAAGAAGGCTCTGTTGCAGAAGGGGGTTGAAGTAATTCGACCAAAAGTAGTCATTGACCTCCTCCCGGAAGAGAGGATGATCAACGACTACTAATTAATACTGGTCTACTATTAATATTTGAAAAGTGATCCGTGTTGGATGGGTTGTGATGGCCTCGCATGTGATCGAAGTTGCTAACCTTAACGTCCGAAAGGCTTTATATGACTTGTTAAATGAAAAAAATGCCAGAATAATTGATTTCGTGTGATAATAAAGTGTTTATATTTTTACAAAAGATTGTATAAACTACGTAGACATATGTTCTTGTAAATATTGCGTTTATAGAAAAAAATTATTGGGCTGCAATTTTAAAAAATTGTAGACCTATAAATTCCAACTTTGGTCCGCCTGTTTGTCCGTTCTCGAGAAAAGAATTAGCTATTGTGTATGTAGCGGCCTTGGGGCGTTAGTAAGGAAAACGTAATTGGGTAATATTTTGGCACTCTTTTTCGTTTGTCTGACCAGTTGTATGCTCGTGCTATCAACGAAATAAAGGCTCCTTAGACTCGTTCTTGTGTGTTTTATTGTTTCTTACCTCGGATGTAACAGATATATGAAAATCGAGACCAAATATGGAGGCAGGATTAACTATACACGAACTTCCAGTTTAGCTGGAACGTCAAGTTACGTCAATTTGAAATTTTCTCCTGAACGGTATTAGATAGACAACCCCGATAGACTCTATTGCTAACAGAAAAAGGTACAGGGACAAGTTACCATTAAAATAATTGAGAAATTGTGAAGAAAAATTGCAGCTCGGCATTATGACAATGTCAATAAATAATTTCTCGTTAAAATTAGTTTGGTTTATTTGGTTACGGCAACGCGATACGTGAGCTATCTGCCGAGTGGTATACATTCCAAGAAGACTTTTATGGGAAGCTGGATCTTATTTACGTGTTACTAATGTGAAGAAAACACAGAAAACTGCA